CCGCTGCGCGCGTCTCACTTGGACACTTACCAACCAGGCTTTGGAGCTAATAGTCCTACGAGCAGTGAAATAAATTTGATGAAAGGTGACAACAAGAGTGGAACTGGCAATATCAAATAAACTCTTAGTCACGTGATTAATCTTGACCTGTACAACGTTACTCTCTTTTACATATTTTCTTTTAATCAAAATAATCAAAAGACTTTACGAAACAAAAATAAATTAATTATTAATATATAAACAGTTATTATTTACCTCAACAAAACTCACCTTTTTAACAACACTTAAGGGACACAAAGGGCCATTACTACCGCTTTCCCGTTCAAAATATTCTAATAAATTTGAGTTTTTTACGGCTATTTAGCTATCTTGTACACTTCGCACTAAAAAAGGTTCTAAAAAAACAATGTTTGACTGCTAATGCAAGACCTGCTAGTAAACATTTTTAAGCTTAAAGTATCACAACACTATTTATTTAAACCAAAATCTCGTAATACAAAACTAAAGTGTCAAAAAGAATGACAATGTCAGGAAATAAATAAATGAATGTGGCAACTTGACATTTTTTACAGCAGAGCTACCACCTGTTTCCCCAGCGGGAAATTTAAATTCCAGTTAGTCAGCCCGGCGCCAAATATCTCCATGGTTGGCAACAATGAATTTAAAAATCGCGCCCTAGATTACGTAACTAAACGTTTAATTGATAATAAATATACTTAAGTAAGATGCAAAGCAAATAACAGTTGATTGAGAGATAACGATTAAAGAGTTTTCTTTAGAATGTAGCAGATTGGTTTAAGACGCCAAGTAACAAACACAATTCTTTATGCAGATATTAATTTGAAGTCTATAACGAATCGTTTTTGGAATACATATAAAATTGATAAAAGAAAAATAAAACTTAATTATTTATTTTATAGAAATGCATTAAATTTAAGGCACATATGTGCACCTATTGAGAATCCGCCATAAACCATACAGAGCTACAAAATAACAATAACCCCGTATTCATTTTCATCGTTTAATAATCTAGCACATTTCAAATGTTAATCAACAGTGAAAAAAATAATGTATATGAAAAAGAAACAGGGTAACTAATCGAAATATAGGTAAATGAGAAAATAATTATTTATGCGCTATCTAACCTGACCCTATCCACCAGATGGTGTTCAAACTTTAGATTGTAGTTTACGGCAACTCATAAAACCGACTTCCATTAGTAACCTCAAAATTAACTACTTCTTGAAGATAACTGGAACCTATAAAATTGACCATTAACATAATTAGTTACTGGAGCGGTCTCCATTAGATCTTTAGGTTTATCGAACGTTTACAAACGGACTGAAATACCAACAGGACCGCAACGTATTATTAGGAGGGGGTTCTACTCTAACTTCAATAAACAAAGATATTTTTCTACTTTTACAGTAAAAACAATGGATGTTTCCCGAAGAAAACATTATTTTTTATTAAACAGTGTCGTTACAAAGTTATTATTAACACATATACAGGTTGTTAATTTGTTTATTAGTCGCGGCAAGAGCTTTATGGTTGAAATATGGCAACCTCGGCCCGACGGCGACGCGACGGGACGAGTCGGCAGCTTAGCTTGGTACTCATTTGGAATGTAGGCAGTTTTGCCATTCTGTTCCCTAATAAGTAACCGTGCAGTTAAGCAGTTAACAATCTGTATGTGTATTTATTAAAACACTAACGCTTCGTCCTACGTGGGCGACAAAAGCGGGCAATTCGGGCGATGCGAGCGACGCGACCTCATCAAAAAACGTTTTCTTATGAACAATTAATAATTTTTTATGAAACTTATAAATTAGCTCTGTTATGTATGCTTATGACGGCGTCCTGCATTGCCGGAGCAGGACGATTTCAGAAGAAAACGGTGGTTTGAAAAAACACTTGTCGCTCGCATCGCCCGCTTTTGTCGCCCACGTAGGACGAAGCCTAAAATGTGTATTAGTACGCGTGTCACACCGTCACGCCGCGTGTGTATGCCATGCTGGGCGTATCTACTATCTACGAGTTGGCCGACTCATGCATAAGTTTTTGTAGTCTTTCTTACTATCATACTCAAAATTTTTAAAATAGAACAAGCAACTTTCTACAAAACTTTTTATTTTAAAACATAAGCTAACAAAAAAAAGCTAGACATGTTTCTTGTACGTAAATATTTCTTTTCTGTACGAACGAGTGGGAGTAGCGAATGACATTGTTGTCAGGTTAACAATTTTATTGAGCATTGCATTGTGGCGATAAATGAATATTTTTTAAATTTTCAGTTTGGTGTGTAAAAAAGAGAACGGCTCTAGTTTTTTTTTACTTGAAATCAGTTATGTAGGAAATATTTTAAGTTTTTTATTTAGTATTTGGAAGCTTTTTCGAATAGTATGTCATAAAAAATTTTCTGAGGAAATGCATCCTTTTCTAGTTTTTCAGCTTTAGAATATTTACATAATAAAATTAATATAATATGTATTAATAATTAATATTCTTTTACTTCAGATCAGTGATGTAAGAAATATTTGTTTATTTAGTTTTTGGAAGTCTTTTTGAATAGTATGTCACAAAAATTTTTCTGCCGAAATGCATAATTTTAAGTTTTTCAACTTTAGAATAGCTGAAACCAGTTACACAGTGAAGGTGGTTCTGTTTTTCATTCTAAAAATTTTTCTAAACATAGACACACAAAAAACACCTTACGGAAGTATACCATTTTCATTTATTCATAAAATATCGTAAAATATAGCAATATCTGAAAAGTACTTGGCAAATTATTCTAAAGTCGGAAAAAAAAAGAATGATGCATTTCCGCAGAGAAATTTTTATGATTTTGTGTTTGGGGAGGCTTCTATATACTGGATGTTTTGTTGATTTTTTTATAAGTGATTTCAAGTAAAAAAAAACTTCACCCAAGGATTCTTAGAAAAAGAGTTAATTGTCTATTATTTTTCGGTATTTTTTCTGACCGATTAAAAGATGCAGAAATCGTATTTTTAATCATATCTCAATGTTTTCAAATGGAACGAAGGTGGCTCATTAGCATATTTAGAAAAAGCAATTGGTATTTCGTGTCAAATTGTCAGATGTTAAAAAAAACTTTTTTTAACTGTTAAGCTATAGGTACATACACAGACAATTACAGCGCTTTCAAATGGAGCGGACCGTACGCGCGGAGCGTCCGCGCGGATGTTTTTTCAATATAGCTCATCCGGACGGAGCATACGCGACCCATGTGAAATCGTTCATTAAACTCATGGTACTTGCTCGAAGTCGCGGACGGTCCGTCGCGGACGCTCCGCTCCATTTAAAAACGCTGTTATATCCCTAATACAATATTTAAATATTAACACCGCAATCGCAAGTTACAGTCGCAGTGATTTAAAAATTGCAATCGCAGTTTCAATTGCGATTGGAGAATCGCAGTTTTCCTCATCTCTAGGCGTTTGTATGCCATACAGGTCTGGGCGTATGTACGAGTTGACTGACTCACAGCGCTTTCAGATGGAGCGGAGTATTCGCGACGGACCGTCCGCGACTTCGAGCAAGTACCATGAGTTTATATGAACATTTTCACATGGGCGCGTATGCTCTGTCCGGATGATTTCGTCCGACGCGCGACGTCTATCTTGAAAAAACACGACGGACGGTCCGCTCCATCTGAAAGCGCTGTCATGCATAAAAGGTACATTCAGGCTGAGAGCGTCGAGCGTCGCGTCGCGTCTTGTTTGCGTCGGCGTCCGCCCCGAACCCTGACGCTCAGCGGATGCTAGCGCAACGCCAAACGCGACGCTGTCTGCCTGAACGGTCTAATTTAAGTTAAGTGAATTGATTCCCTTTCGACACGCGGACGCGACGCAAACGCGACGCTACGCTCGACGCTCTCAGCCTAAATGTACCTTAAGTTTTTGTAGTCTTTCTCACAATCTTAACAGCGTTTTCAGATGGAGCGATGGTCCGTCGTGTTTTTTCAAGATAGCCGCCGGACGGAGCATACGCGCCCATGTGAAATTGTTCATATAAACTCATGGTACTTGCTCGAAGTCGCGGACGCTCCGTCGCGAACGATCCGCGCCATCTGAAAGCGCTGTGAAAGTATTTATACTCAAAATTTGTTAAAATAAAACAAAAAATTTTCTACAAAACTCCTTTATTTTAAAACATAAGCTAACAAAAAAAGCTAAACATCTTTCTTGTACGTAAATATTTTTTTTCTGTACGAACGAGTGGGAGTAGCGAATGACATTGTTGCCAGATTAATAATTTTATTGAGCATTATGGCGATAGACGAATATTTTTTAAATTTTCAGTTTAGTGTGTAGAAAAGAGGACTTTTTCAATACGGGAAAGAAAAGAGCAGCACGATAAAAAACGAGTGACTGAGTGCGACTGTCCTCTGGAATAGAGGACGGTTAGCAACCCTAGCGTTACCTGAAAATTTTACCCGTGTTGTCATCTTTTTTAAGATATCTCTCTGTTTACTGCTCATCGGAATATTAGATATAATTTATCAGCGATGTTGGATGTCTTAATACGGATATGTAATTTGTGCACTCAAGTATCAGCTTAAAGTACGCAAACAAAGAAAGCTGGTTAATCAGCGCTGAAAACCAGCGCCAGAGTAGCGCAGTATATTCTTTGGTCAGAGCCAGCGCCAAAAACCAGCATCGAAAATCACAATACGCGCATCCAGCACAGACAACAAGCGACCAAGAAGTAAAAATTCGTTCCGGTAAAGTCAGCGCCGATAAGTTTTTTTTCTTTGTGCGGGTGTGTTTAAAAGCGCATTTAATTAGTGACGATTACTTTTTACGTTCATTGGGTACTATTGAAACAACTTGAAGGCGCTGGTAATAAGCGCGTGTAACCAGCTTTCTTTGTGTTCGTACCATTACGATTGGAATTATCAGCATCGGATTAAGACTTGAGAACTGATTTCACGAACTATAAAAATGACATACTAAAACTAATGCCAATTTTTGATACAGGAAAAGGGTACCCAATGTTCAGCCACCCCTTCCGTACCAGTTGGGCCAGGCCGAACCTCAGCTCTTATTCCTTGTCGCCATGGAGGCTGTGAAGGTGGAGTTGAATACGTTGGCGCCAGTGGAGGTAGACGAGTATGTGCAACGCCACCTCCTCGTCCTCAGGAACGGTGCGAGGGCTGCATACAAGCTGCGGCACAGGCGGCAGCTGCAGCGGTCGCAGCTGTCCAATTGTCGACACAGTCACAAACGTTGGAGAGGTCTACAGGGAGAGGACAGCAACAACAGGCGTGGTAAGTTTTGTTGTCCGTTTTATTTTTTTTATTGGAATAGATTAATACATTCAGAATCTAATATCTAAAAAAAATATTGTCAGTACATTGTACTGAGTGCATATGACTCAGTACATTGTACTGAGTGGCCAACTAAGAATGGACGCCAGCTGTATCTCAAAAAATACTTATCAAATAACTTTGAGAAAAAACTGTAAGAAGTAAATCGACTAGGAAAAATCGCTGGAAATTATTTTCATGTTCGAAAAATGTCCGCTAGGGGGCGCTCCACTGATAGCCAATCAGTAAACAGGGGTTTTCTCAAAAATATGCAGGTGAACAGGTATTTCAAATATTACTATTCTAATCATCGAGAAATTTGTAATTTTTTTGATAGAGTACCTATTTTGCTCTATCTCATAAAATAATGTAGTGCGGGAAGGTTAAACTTGCTTTTATTAAAATAAAGATAACTCTGGTTTAGGTTAGCCGATTTTAACAAACTAGGGCTCGTTTAAAAGATCTTTTCTTCCTTAATGATCTCCAGTCTAAATTTTGTTTCCACAGATTTTTTCGTGGTAGCTAGGGGCGCTGTTTGACATTATAACAGTTATTGCGCTTTTGCATAAAAAAAATAAATAGCAGGCTATGTTTCTTTTTGCACATCTAAATAGAGCACAAAATTTCCAAAATATCAGCGCAAACCGGAACTTTCTATCATCCTATTGCTGCCAAAAGTCACTAACTAACATTTTTCCGAACAACCAAATTCAATCACTAACTATGTTTTGAAGCGGGGAATCGATTGCAAAAGTTATTAACTACGATTTCTGGCTATTTATGTTTTATTTTAATACCGAATAGTTACTAACTATAACATCTTTATGCAGTGCAATTCATCTTTAGACGCATTTTTCTCGGAAGTAAAAAAAAGTAAGTTAGTGACTTTTGGCAGCAATGGGACGCTATCTTCTCTCTAACCGGAGATATTAAGATGACAAATCATGTTAGGCTGCAGCTTAGGATTATATAGTCATTTTTTTAAGATAACGTCCAAAATTTGGATGCATGAAAACTAAACTTAAACGTTTTGATATTTTGGCGTAACCAATTTAGTTCTTTTTATTTCCTAGCCTACTACTATAACTTTTAGACCTTATAATCCTAGGCGACAGCCTAATATGATTTATTTTCTTAATATCTCCCGTTAGAGAGAAGATAGAAAGTTGCGGTTTGCGCTGATATTTTGAAACTTGTGTGCTCTATTTAACTGTGCAAAAAGAAACATAGCCTGCTATTTAATTTCTTATGTAAACGCGCAATATCTGTTAGGACATCAAACAGCGCCCTCCAGTGACGGCTCGTGACCCGTGTGACTGGGTAGGCGACAAAATTTTAGTTGCGTCTATTTACCCCCCCCCCCTAATTTACATAATACCCTAGCCCAGTTTGTAAATATATGTATGCTATCTCTGGGTTAAAAACATAGCTTAAAAATATTTAGGACAAAACTAAAGCAAAAATAACAGCAGTTAATGTAATAATAATATACAAGTATAGTTTTTATTAACCTATTTTATCTATTATTTTTTTATCTATCACTATGGAGTACATCATAGAATTTTAATTTATTTTTATATATTTACGCAAACTTAAAAAATTTGTAAAGTATTGAGAGAGAGAATAATTATGTTTTATATATTAAATTGATGAGTCGGTATCTTAATAAAGAAAAGTTATTTATTATTATATCAGTAAAATCATCAGATTGTTGAAGAGCTGTGAAACGATCTTTTTAGATTGAAAGTAAGGCAAGTGGCGATAGACGTTTATTTTTCATGGAATCTCTACTATAAATTTTAATGCATTTCAAACATGAAAAATGTCTCTCAACCCAAGTACTTGTAAATGGTGTAGTAACAAACAAAACAAACAATTTGAAAGCCTCTGGAAATATATTTCCAGGATTATTCTCCTTAAATTATTTTATAATCGAAATAATTATCATATCTATTATTAATACCTGCAATTTATTAATTAATTTATGTTGGTCAATAACATTTTTTGTTTGTTAAATCACTATTAAATGCGTTGGAAATGTATCAATATAACAAGTTTGTTAAATCAGATGTTAAATGCGTTGGAAATTTTTTATAGGATTCTTTAAATTTCGGATCCGCAAGAGATAAATAAAAATAATTGAGACATACGAGTACCTATCTGCAAACCTTATTTCTAAATGTATAACAATGTTATCTAATATTTCATAAAATAAAATTTGCAAAGATATTTTGAATTGAAATAACACAGAGACTTTTCTGTAATATCTGTTGTATCGTTTTCTTGCACCTAATAAAATAACGCGCTTTTTTATTTCGGATTATTTTATTTTTGTGGCGTGTTCTGAAATACAACCGGTTTATATCATTTTTAATAATCTCGGATAAACCCGAAAAATGTTTCCAATTTGTTTTAAACGTTTTTTGAATTTTCATATAAAAGTTTTAAATGCTACGATTGCTACGTATAATGAATCATATGAAATATCCCCTTAACAAAGGTGATATATCTCCTTATGAAATATCCGGAATATCCCCTTAACATCTAAGCCTACCGAGCCTCCACGACTTCATGCGAAGGCGACCGGAGATTTCGCCTAAGGCCCGCCTTAATACGATACAACTCCGACTTACGTCGCGTCGCTACCGCACGATAAGTTAGACAGAGACAGAAGACTGTCGTACGTCGTGCATCAACTCTGATAGTAGGAGATGTAGAAATCGCCGAACAAAGGCACTCCAACGGTCAAAATTATTTCGTTTTCTAACATAGCGGCCCAGTGAGCGTCAGCGTATGCCAGCGGTAGTGAATATGTTAAAATACAAGACCACAAATATTAAAATAATATTGATTATTAAAACACACTTCCGTGTATTAACAGTATTTTTATGTATTGACGACATTAATAGCAAAAGATGTAATGTAATAAATCGCTTAAATTCTGCCAAAATCTTAGGGTAGGCGCCGCCTACCTTGCCTACCCTGACGAGCCGCCACTGGCGCCCTCTAACTACCATGAAGAAATATGTGGAAACAAAATTTATACTGGAGATCATTAAGGAAGGAAAGATCTTTTAAACAAGCCCTAGTTTCTTTAAATCGGCTAACCCAAATCAGAGTTACCTTTATTTTAATAAAAGCAAGTTTTACCTTCCCCCACTACTTTATTTTATGAGATAAAGCAAAATACGGTTATACCAAAAAAAAATACAAATTTCCCATTGAATAGAGTAGCAATATTTAAAATACCTCTTCACCCGCATATTTTTGAGAAAAATCCTGTTTACTGATTGGCCATCAGAGATGCGCCCCCTAGCGGACATTTTTCGAACTTGAAAATAATTTCAAGCGATTTCTTTTGGTCGATTTACTTATTACAATATTTTTCCCAAAGTTATACGATAAGTACCGTATGATCGAGAAAAAATGGCGTCAGCGATGGCTATGAAATGAAGATCGCTGTCATTTTATGTGTAAATTTATATGGGAAATGTCATCGATCGTCATTTCCCAGCCAACTGGACGCCGTTTTTTTTCGATCATACGGTAGTTTCTGAGATACAGCCGGCGTCCATTCATAGTTGGCCACCCGGTTCATTTTTGAATAGAAATTGTTTTTTAATATTCTTATAATAAATATTATGATGCTAACTTTATGATTCTGACACTGTATTGACTGTATGTAGGTACGCAAATATGCTATGATAAAATAACTTATAATTCGGACATAACATACAGGTGAACATTCAATATATTATCATTTATCGATATATTTCAAACTTATTTTCTACGTAGTTTATCGCAATATTAGGAATTCTTGATAGAACTAAACATTCAGTAATTTAACTGACAATTAAATCCTAAACATTCACGTTTGACTTGCTGTTAAACTCATCACGATTTCAGCGATCTGTTACCTAATGAATTTACAAGTCGACTATTAAATTTCCTGCAAACCAATCTAGCTAGCATGATTGGCATTAATTTCCAGTTGTACTCGGAAATAATTTATTAATCTAATAATTATATGATTCATTTTCTATTATTATTCAAAAATGCTTTTGTTTTCTTTATAATAATAATCGAAAAAAAAGGCGTCAGCGATGGCTATGAAATGAAGATCTGAAAATAGTTTCTGAAATAACAGCGCTTTTTAGGTTCCAACATTTATATGTTTTTGTTTTTTGTTTCGACTTTATTTTGTTAAAGCAAAACTGCGATTCTCCAGTCGCAATTGAAACTGCGATTACGATTTTTAAATCGCTGCGACTGTAACCTGCGATTATGATTTTATTTAAATAATGTACTAGGTATACATATAATTGTTTGTGGAGGTACCTATAGCATAACAGTTAAAAAATGTTAATAAAAACCAGTTGTTTAGTTTTAAGTTTTTTATAACATTTGCAACACATAGTATAGGTATAATGTACTAACAATATACTGCAACTGCTGCAACTACACATACCTACTCTTTCTACGGTTATCTAATTCTTTATTCGTTTAAGAAAAAAGAAGAGTTCTTAAGAATTAAGAGATCCAATTAACCCAATTAAAAGATCTTAAAAAACTATTTTTTAAGGTGGCTCACCCCTATAACTTTTTTATTATTTTGGATAAAGAAACGAGATTTGGTGCGTTAGTATATGACACAAATCGGGACTGATAGACGTATTCATTGATTTGTATGCAATCCTGTTTCACTGTAAATAACTACAACTTTTGATTTTTTAATAACACCCTCTATATTTTTATTACTTAATTCGATAGAAAATGACACTGAATAGTATGACATATCATAATTAGTGTTGCACAAGAAAAGAATTCTTGTCTTGAAAATCAATTTCTTGTCTTGTCTTGAAATTCAAGAAATTTTCAAAGTCTTGCAGATTTCTTGAATGGCAAAGTCTTGTCTTGTCTTGCAAGACTCTTTAAATTTCTTGTCTTGAAAAATTTTACAT